AAATTCATTGCACACGATCGCACTGCCGCATCCGTAATTCATTGCAGGCCGAAGAATTCGTTGCAGGCGTATTCATTGCATCGGATCGCGCTGCCGCATCCGTAATTCATTGCATGCCGAAGAAGGCTTTACCCCTAAATCATGGGACCTTCAGATCCCTTTAACCCGAAAATCCTTTAATCCTAAGCTGTCCGTAACCCTAAAATCCTTTAACACTAACATCCTTTATTCCTAAGCCCATTGAACCCTAAGACCTTTTAACCCCTAAATCCTTTGACCCTAAGATGCTTTTAACCCTAAATCCCTTTAACTAGTCTTTATAATCCGATCACGATTTAACGCTAAAGTCTGTTAACCCTACGGCATTTGTAACCCTAAAATCCTTTAACCACAAAGTGGATTAACCATAGATCCTTTAACGCTAAATCCTTTAACCCTACGATGCCTTGACCCCGAAATCCCTTAACCTTAAGATCCGTTTAGCCCTAATTTTGTTTAACCCTAAACTCCTTGAACCCTAACATCCGTTGGCACGTCTCTGACGGTACCAAGGCACAGCACCAGCCGGAATTCGTTGCATGTCAGCGTGTGTGGCCACATCACCAGCCGGAATTCGTTGCATGTCAGCGTGTGTGTCTTTTCTGATCGCACGATGGACATCCAGCACTTGGAATTCGTTGCAGGCCAGCGTGTGTGTCTTTTCTGAAATTCATTGCACACGATCGCACTGCCGCATCCGTGATTCATTGCACGCCGAAGAATTCGTTGCGGGCCAGCGTGTGTGTTTTTTCTGATCGCACGATGGCGTGTCAGCAGCCGTAATTCCTTGCACACGATCGCGCTGCCGCATCCGTAATGCATTGCAGGCCGAAGAATTCGTTGCAGGCGTATTCATTGCATCGGATCGCGCTGCCGCATCCGTAATTCATTGCATGCCGAAGAATTCGTTGCAGGTCAGCGTGTGTGTCTTTTCTGACCGCATGATGGCACATCAGCACTTGGAATCCGTTGTTGTTAGAAAAAAAACACGTCGGAGGGATGGGCAACACTTTTTCATGTTTTCCTTTGCCATCATAGCAGTACACCATGTGGGATTAAAGGAGAATTAATCATGATCGATCTAATGTGATTCAAATATTTGGTGTTGTAACTTGGGAAAGTTAAAGACCACAAGTTCTTTCAAGATAACGCTTGGGATTATGATATCATGTTGGCCGAAGGAAGTTTAGAAGTCAAACTTCCGACAATATGGACAGATGAAAAGCAGAGCAGGGCAGAGGCACAGAGAAGAGGAAGATTAGAAGAGAGAAGATCAGAAGAGAAAGAGTAAGAGGACAGACGCTACAGATGCGCGAAAAGGTAGGAAAGTCGCGAAACACTGTGTTTTTCCAATGATTTGTGGCTCCGGGGGGTCGAAAAGTAGGCTCGCTAAAGTGGCGGGTGTGGAGCCAGCTGGCCACAGGAGCGATGAAAAATTGCACGCCGTTGTGGCGCGAAGCACATTTCCAAGTCAAAATGTACAAAACACCAGGGGTTCGGACCACTTTTGGAAGTTGCGATGTCGAAAAAGTGCACGCCGTTGTGGCGCGAAGCACATTTCCAAGTCAAAATGTACAAAGCACACCAGGTTCGGACCACTTTTGGAAGTTATGATGTCGAAAAAGTGCACGCCGTTGTGGCGCGAAGCACATTTTGAAGTCAAAATGTACAAAACACACCATTCTCGGAGCACTTTTGGAAGTTGAGATGTCGAAAAAGTGCACGCCGTTGTGGCGCGAAGCACATTTCCAAGTCAAAATGTACAAAACACACCATTCTCGGACCACTTTTGGAGCTTCGGATGTCGAAAAAGTGTCTAAAAAGTGCACGCCGTTGTGGCGCGAAGCACATTTCGAAGTCAAAAGTGTAAAAAACTGAGGGTTTTGAGCCTTTTTTGACGTGAAGATGTCGAAAAAGTAGACACTGATTGACTTAACTAACTTCACTAACTTAACTACCTTAACTTCGACAACAACAGCAACAGCAGCAACAACAACAACAACACCAACCACAACAACTACAACTACAACAACTACAGCTACAACAACTACACAACAACTACAACTAGAACTACAACTACAACAACTACAACAACAACAAAAACAACAGCAACTACAACTACAACTACTACAACTACAACAACTACAACTAGAACAACTACACAACAACTACAACTACAACTAGAACTACAACTACAACAACTACAACAACAACAACAGCAACAACAACAACAACTACAACAACAACTATAACTACAACTACATTTCCAAGTCAAAAGTGTAAAAAACTGGCGGTCTCGGACCACTTTTGGAAGTTGAGATGCCGAACAAGTGTACGCCACACCCAGGCGCGAAGCACATTTCCAAGTCAAAATGCACAAAACACACCAGGTCCGAACCACTTGTGGAAGTCCAGATGTCGAAAAAGTGCACGCCGTTGTGGCGCGAAGCACATTCTGAAGTCAAACGTGTTAAAAACTGGCGGTCTCCGACCACGCTTGGAAGTTGAGATGTTGAAACAGTGCACGCCGTTGTGGCGGGAAGCACATTTCGAAGTCAAAAGGTCCAAAAGGTAGACAGATAGACAGATGAAAGAGAGAGAGAGAGAGATAGATAGATAGATAGATAGATGGATGGATAGATAGATAGATAGATAGGTAGATAGGTAGATAGGTAGATAGGTAGATAGGTAATTAGATAGATAGATAGATAGATAGATACATAGAAGATAGGCTGGTAGGTAAGTAGATAGTCAGAGAAAGAGAGAGAGAAAGAGAGGAGACCTCAAGCACCTTTCGGTCCATCAGTGGCTTCGCTCTGCCATCCCTCATTCACAACAACCAATCTCTCCTATAGGTTTCCTATTTTTGAAACTTCCGCCACCGCCTTGTGCGGTACTACTGGTAAAATAACGTACAAATCGTACAAATAGTTAATTAGCCAAAACGAATGGGTCCAGGCCCTCCCTGGCAGCCCTCAATCTCTCCCTTGGGTGCATCAAAGGCACACAGGCCGACGGCCAACATGGTCTGCTAAACGTCCCAGCATTGGCAAAGCAATGACTTGTGCCAAAGAGTAGGCACTGAAGAGCAGGCCTTGCAAGGATCGGGTCATGGACTGCTTGGATCAAACGAAGGTCTCCATGAAATTACTTGAGCAGCCAGGATTAAGATGGGAAGAGTAGAGGATAGTCATGTGTCGCTTCCTGCTAGCCACCATGGGCACTGGGATCAGCTCGGACATCCAGTAGGGCTTGTACTACCAGTGGATCTTTGCCGAGAACAGCGAGGTCCAGTGCTGACAGCTCTGTGCAAGGTAAAGACTGTTGCCTTATCATTATCCTGCAGATTACCTACTCTGTGGCCAACTTCCCCTTTACAAGTACGATCTTGAAGGTACTCATTCTTGGCAGAGAAGACAAGGCAAAATCTTGGGGACATTGAGGGCAGTATCAAAAATGGACACATGATGGACAAATGGACAAAATCCTTGAGAAGCCTCTCTAGACACTCTCTAGACTAAGCCAAGGAAACCACTCCAAATATCTTCAAATGATCATATTAAAGATGCAAGAGAATGCGAGAAATCAAGAGAAAGAACGTGCCGAATGAAACAAAGCACCACCGTAAGGCACCCTCCGACAAATGCTGGCGGGACGATACGTCCATGCGCTGAACGAAAAACAAATACAAATTATCACAGTAAGATACAGGAAGCATTTGAACTCTCCCCTCAACTAGTAAGTGAAGATGGTACGGCAATTCTTTCCTCCACGGCCCCCACAAATACCTGAACCGGAGCAGAAGAGACTCACACTTCATGCTACTTCGCGTTACTTGTTACAACTCGCACAGGCTCTTCATGATTCTTCAATGCTTGACGTTTGCGACAGATGCCCATCTTCTGATCTTCTGCCTATTTCGCTGCTGGATGCTTGGAACTCTTCTGCGTAGAACGGCATCACTGGAGCCGAGATTGATCCACCCAATGAATCAATGAAGACGGTGATGCAAACCTGGTGTACAGGAGAGCAAAGCTGCTAGCAACGCAAGGATCCATGGTTAAAGAATGTTAAAGATTGTTAAAGATAAACGCGCCCAGAGAAACGCAGCAAACATCAGCCCGACCCTTGCCATTGGCCATTGACATCTGTGGCTGCTGACTACTGCATAGCAAAGGCACCATCCAAATAGCTTCCACAGGAACTGTGAGGCTTCCTGGCCCGCAACATGGTTTGTCCTTCGCGGAAGAAAGAGACAAAGAACAGGTGCAATTATGGATCAAGCGGTATAAAGAGCACACAATGCCCTGCTGCGTTTGCGTGCAGAATGTGCGAAGTCTGTGCCGTGTTCAGTCGCTTCTTTCTTGTCACAGATTTCTGGGCACGTGCTGACATGTGCTGACTCAATACCCACTGAGTCCTCATCAAGCAAAGGCTGATGGGGTGCCATTGTCGCTCAAGACAAGATAGCACAGCAGTTCTTTTTTCAAATGATGAGTCTCCCTGTTGCAAACTGCTTGGTGTTTGAACAGAACAGGAAATCAATATATAAAGTAAAGTAAATAATATAGAATATCCATGAATATCGTAAAATCATTTGCATGCATTACATACATATTTTACATATATATATATATACATTAAAAATATCTAGAATCCGCCAGGTTTAGAGCATCTTGGTAAATATGGTAAAGACAGAATCATCCTGAGGCTTCCAAGTGTGTCGGCACATCTAAGGGTCTACGCACGTAAGACCTACATAGACCTACAATGACCTACACATGTATCTGTGTCATTCTGTGTCTGTGTGTCTATCTGCCTGTGCCTTTCCAAACTGATTCTGACTGCATACTGAACGAATTCGAACGGCAAACATCTCTAGTGTGTCAAGAAGGTGTTCCGTTGAGTTTTATGCAATAAATTACTTGCCAAGTGGGCCTTTGGTCCACAATGTAAGAAGCAAGAAGAGTATCATGAGGCTACTGGACACAGTGGAATCTTGCCTGAAACAGCATTTTGCGGCAAACGAAACCTCATCATGATTCCATTTAATGCAAGCGTTGAGCTAGGAGGAGGTAGCGAGCAGGCCGACAAAGCACATTGAAAAAGAATGCACTGCAATGACTACATGCAAGATCATGCAAGCATACAAGTGATATCAAGTGATACTGCCAAAGTCTGTACCATTACATGTTCTTGCGATTTCGACCAATGTCGTTGACGCCGTCGGATGTGCATGTCCTTCTAGAGTCTCATGCTGCTGATTGCACTGGCACAAAGTCAAAGCGCCAAGCAGTGGGGGCTGTGCTGGCCAGTAGCCCGCTTCAATTCAAGGGCAATTGCGGCAAGAGATGGAAGCAGTTTGGGGTCCACAACGTGCTTACCTTGAATTGGTCAATGATGGTCAATGTCAAACTCACTCTCTGTTCTTTTCGCTCAAACCTTCTGACCTCACCAGTTTGCTGAGAAACGGAGAGAGTTTTGGCGTTCGCCCCCAAAAAATCCAAAAAGATCCAAAAAGAACACCGTAGGACCTAAGGAAGCTCAAACAGTGCAAAGAGCTGCAGGCAAACAACATGGTTATTATTATAAGGACTGAGAAATAATGGAGTATATTAAACAGCGACGGCGATAACAAGAGAAACGTTTTGCAGCACAGTACGGGTGGACAAAGCTGTACAGTACCCAACTCCCTGCAACTTGATGGGTTCAGACCATGCTAAATGACTCTTGCTCTGCCCTTTCATGCCACTTCACCATTCCGACACCTTTTGCACATGGTCTGAGCCCGGTGTTGCCAGCAGCTTCTGCATGATGCACCGGCAAGCAGCTGTCAGGGTGCGAAAAAGAATGCTTCAGCCAGGACCGAAACGAAACAGTTCACCGAGCCACTTTAACTATCAGGGGCTTTTGGAGGCTTGTTAGGGCCCTGTACATAGAGCAGGCCTAGTGTGGCCTAGTGCCGCCGCTTGGAGCAAGTCGCACATCTCAATCGAAGTCGGCCTCGCACGTCACGTGTTGACATGCAGCCTGACTGCAGAATTGACGTGTTCGTTGCCAAAATGATCAACTTGCGCTTCTTGACCCACGTCATCACAGCCCACGCACAACATACTAAAACCATCTATATAAAGCCCAGGTAGCATCATGTCATGAAGATATCATCAATTATCATCACCATCAGCCTTGTCGCCATGCCATCTCTAGGCGGCCCTTCAGTGGCAAGTGCACAGGGCTTCCATGCCCCACAGCATTCCTCAGACCGCAACTTCCCCAACTTTCATTTCACAATGGCTCAGTGTGGAAGGAAAGAAAGAATCCAACGGCAAGTCTCGTGCATGCGTGCTACAAAGGCATGGGCGCGCTCTTGCGAAAAAATGCGATATTTCGTGCTGGCAAATGACCTGGCAAAAAAAAAAACGTTGGTTCTCGAAGACTCGACATCACACTCGATTGGTTCATTGTGAGTAGTTCTGTTTGCTTTATAATGTTTCATACAATAGATATGTGTTATTATATATTTGTTTACATCTTGTGCGGGGTCTTTCTACCACAATGGTACCCCTTTGCAGCTTGCACATTTGATATACGAGCAGAGGTACGCATTCACATAAAAATGGTAGCCCAGTAGCCCTGATTCGCAAGGATTGTTGACTTGCTTCTGGGGGTTGCCTGGAATCTGATACACAGATACAGTACCCTTTGAAAATTCAAATGTCAAGTCCAATGCTGTGCAGCTAAGCGAGACAAGGTGCCAACCACATTTGTTTGGAGGATAGATGTAGAGGCCAGTGGCAGGCTCAAATATAAAAGCCTGAAAAGTGCTTCAAACAGCCAGGGGGTTCCCAAGTTTCTGCTGGACGCTGGTCGCATCATATTGCACTGGGATGTCATGGCAGTCAGCAGGTGTTAATTGGAACTGCTGTCGTGTTGGAAGTCGTTGGAAGATCAAAAGTCGCTCATACTCTTTCTATATATGTTATGTAATTACATAATGTTATGTAAATCTGAGAAAACTAAGGCTGTTCGCCCTACTACAGGAACCAGGGCCAAGAACCCAAATTCATCATTTTTCCCCAAACTGTTTACTGTTAGGGTTCCCTTTTCCCCTTCATTTGTCTCCCGTCTGGCTGTTGGGGCCTGGCTCTCTTGATGTTTCTCTTCCCTTGTCTCCCTTGATTTGTTTCCCAGCCTGGCTGGTGGTGGCCGGCTCCCAGGCGCGTCTCTTCACTTGTCTCTCTTCATTTGTCTCCCAATCTGTGTGTCTAGTTACTAGTTGTCCCCCACTTGTCTCCCAGATGTGGTCTCCCGATTGCCTTCCAATTGCCTTCCACGAGTCCCATTTGTCTCCCAGAATCAGTCTTCCAATTGTCTCCAGGTGTCTTCCATTTGTCACCCCGTTGTTTCCCAGTTGTCTCCCAGTTGTCTTTCAGATGTTGTTTCCTACTTGTCACCTACTTGTTTCGGGTTTGTCTTGGAGATGTGGCCTTCCAATTAATTGTCTCCCAGTTTGTTCCAAATGTGCTCTCCCGATTCTCTCCCAGTTGTCTTGCACTTAACCCCCACAACGCTCAGTAGTCTCCCCAAATGTGGTCTTCCAAGTGTCTTCCAATTGTATCCCTCAGCCTTTTTGAATTTGAAACCGTCAACGCTGATGGGTTGCAAAGCTGGGTTAATTGTGTCCGGCTCTCCTTATGTCTTTCTTTACTTGTCTCCGTCTCCCTGTGTCTCCCACTCTGGCAGACTGGTGTCCGGCTCTCCGGATGTCTCTCTTCACTTGTCTCCCTTCATCAGTTTCCCGCTTTGGCTAGTGGCGTCTCCTATTCTGGCCAGTGTTGTCTGGCTCCGCGGTTGTCTCTCTTTACGTGTCTTCCTTCATGTGTCTCCCACTCTGGCTAGTGGTGTCCGGATGTCTTCTCTTTTCACTTGGCTCCCATTCATATGTCTCCCCTAGTGGCGATGTCCTGTTCTTGCTCCATCACGATATCATTTTTGATTGGTCCTTATCTCTGTTCTTTACTTCCTTTGCGTCTTCTTGTTGTCTCAGGAGTTGCACCAGCATCGACTCCAGATAGCGACAACATGAAAAACACGTTACTTGTGATTCATGCTGTTCTCAATTGAGATGGACTAAACAATTGCCAACATCAGGAGCTAGTATTACCACAAACATGCGCGCAGACGCTGGATATGGAAAACTTATGAAAACTTGTTTGGGGTCTACGGGGGTGCAATTTACCCAAGAGGACAGCATCCCTCTCCGGCACACTTCTCGCGTCCTCGTTGCGCAGGGAAGCATATCGGCCCAGTTTTAAGTCACCCGTTGCCACACCACGACTTTGAATGTTGGCAGCTGATAGGAGCCTCTCCTTGGCCACCACGCAGTACGCTAGGAACTGGGTCCAAAAATGTGGCCGTCCCCTTATCGCCCCTTCCTGGTCTGGCAGCCTGGCAGTGGTTCATCATGGTTCATTTTGCGTCCACATCCTTCTGGTCGCTTTGCATGGTCAATCCCCTAGAAGTGGGAAGTTCAACAAAGTAACTAAAATGCATGAGCCGAAATGAGATGACAGAAGGAATCGTCCAACATTGCAAGGAAAAACAGAAAGCACACTGCGCACAAGCAACTACGGAATGTTGAAGTACTCTCCCCGTATCTGTCCTGTTCCAAATGCATGATAAAAATTCAAGGATAGTTGCCAGCAAAGTGCTCAGGAAAAAAAAAAAACAGTAGTGGCCAGGGATCCGCTTCTTCAACAAACTTTGCCCAAAAGTCAGCTTGTCGCTCAAACTCGGGGCCAAGCCAGAAGTTGTGCTCGTTTCCTTGGCCAAGTACTGCATACTTTTTGTTTTTTATCTTTATTGTATCTTCACACCGCGTGGACATCAAAGTTTTGGCGACCAATTGTACCCAGTTGTCACACACACTAGACAAGAATGGATCATTATATGATCCGGCAGGAACTGAATCCTGAAACATGCAAATGCAAAAACACAACCTGATGCAGGTACGTCCAGCTGGCCAAGCTGGATATCCCATTTCACTGGTAGCTTCGTTGGACACAGTCCCAGTGAAATGCTGTGTCCCCCTGCATTGAATTTAGAATTAGAAAGAGAGAGGACAAAGGAAGAAAAAGAGAGAGAAGTTTTACATCTATTTAGATGTTACACACACACACCCGGCCGGAGCCGGGTCAACCCTGAAAGGCAAGAGGAAGAAAAAAGCGGACACACGACGGGCAAACGGCCAAAAACAGCGCAGGGGGGGGAAGGGGAACAGACGGACCTCCGGAACCAACCTACACGGCGAAACGGACCTGACAAAAACAGCGCACACACCTAAACCCCACAACACATTACGGAGAGGCACGCGGGGAAAATTAGGGACCAAATGGGGGACTAGTTAATGACAGGCAAGAAAACCAAAACAATTAATTAAAGACAGGATTTAGCTCCTAAACCTAAAGGTCGTGCGTTGTGCCAATCCAGGCCCGTTGTCAAGTCGTGCCCCAATGGCATAGACAGCTATACGAGTTCCAACGAATTAGGTGCACAAAATGTTTCACCTCACCAGAGAACCATCAAAAGAAAGGAACACCACACCTGAAGGACATGTGCCTGCCTTCTCTCAATGACTTGACATGATGTCATGTAACTGCAAAGGTTGCTGCAAAAAACGGAGGTTTCTGAAGTTCGGCACGGCTTCACAGTTGAAGAAACGCATCGGCGAGTAATCCCTGGGACATCCGGAGCAGCAGGAGAACTCAAAATGGCTGACAAACCGTAAGGCCAGCTGTTGCAATTTACTTAGATGAATTACCAAATTAAAATGTGTTAATTCGGCAGTCAGGACAGTCGTCACTCACCCTAAAGAGGGTTGCCTCAACTGGCTCCATGGCACCATGTCGGAGCCACCATGGAAATCACACTAGACAAGAATGGATCATTATATGATCCGGCAGGAACTGAATCCTGAAACATGCAAATGCAAAAACACAACCTGATGCAGGTACGTCCAGCTGGCCAAGCTGGAATTCCCATTTCACTGGTAGCTTCGTTGGACACAGTCCCAGTGAAATGCTGTGTCCCCCGGCATTGAATTTAGAATTAGAAAGGGAGAGGACAAAGGAAGAAAAAGAGAGAGAAGTTTTACATCTATTTAGATGTTACACACACACACGTGTACAGTGTACATATATATATAATCATATTATATATATATGTGTGTGTGCTGGGAGGAAAATGGTTTTTATCTCCCAAATGCGAGCAAAATGCCTGGGCAGTAACCCATCATCGGACCACCGCCATTGTACGCAGTGTGATTCTGAAAAATATAGACCTTGTTTCCGTCCCTTTCCCTCTCACATTCAGACACAAAGCTTGCAAACATGTATGCACACAACGCAATCAAAGAGTTACTACCCGCCAATTGGTCTGACATTTGCTGGTGTGTGGTGTGCGTGCAAATCAAACATCAAACGCACTGCTGGTCACAGGCACACAGAGTAAATATTTGAAGGCTAAGGCGATTGGCATCCTCTCGCATCAGCAGTGCCCTCTACATAGTTGACTTGTTGGGCCAGATTTATAAGGAAACTGGCCAGTCAAACAGGCTCAGCATAACCTGCCTCAAGCAGCCAAAGGCACAGTAATTTCACGACCTCGCTGTTCTGGAGGCCAAGAGTCAAACGCCTCGCCTGCCACGGCCTTCATCCCAAAATCGCAGGCCTCTGGATCGGGACATGTTACACATAGTTACACCATGTTACACCTCTCCTAAAAAATATGCTGACCAATGCTGACCACCATTATGGTCACAAAGCTGGAAAGAATATCGAAAATGTCTGCCGTTGTGAATTTGGGGACAACATGGGACAACGTGGCAAAACAACGGAAACAACGCATTGCCAAAAGAAATAAAAGATGGAGAAACTGCAGGTGCAGAAACTGGACAGGACATGCCAATTCAAAGCCAATCCCTTCTTTTTCACTGCATGCAACCCTTGATTCGATCATATGTCGAGACCGCGGCTTCTTTGAGGAAAAGGTCCGTAAGAATATTCCAAGCCCTGCACAATGGAGATGGTTCTTGGATGTTCTTGCAGTCACGGGTGGCTTGACAGTCGTCCATTGGGCGTTTGAGAAATGATGAGAAGTATGCCGTAAGCACCAATATGATCAATATGTCACGGTATGTCACGGTATGTCCACATTCACGAAGCACTTGATACATCTTGATACCAAAACCACGAGCCTGGGTATGTCTGCAAGGTGGACTGAAAAGTGAATCTTCCAGTCGGGGAGGCGATGGTCATTCTCATTCTGCGCTAGCCTTTGTTGCCCCAGATGTAGAACAGTGCAGCCATGTACAGGCCAGGCCCACCTTCAAACATATGTAAGCCAATGTTGTGCCAGGAACCGAACATTCAGCCATACACAATCACTCCACGCGTTCCAAATGATTTTTTGAAACAACAATTGCAATTTGAAACTGAACATGGCAATACATCGAATGTGTGGCAACATAATGATGCCTATATCCAGCATGTCATCTGGAGTCTGTGGAAACGGAGAGAGATGAATGCGTGTGAGTAGTGCTAAACAATACAATACTGCATGACCACTGCATGATACTGCATGTATTTTCAGGCCGCAGCGCGGTTGTGGAAACAACCACAAATTGTGCAACCAAGCATCCAGTAGACCCTCCCACGCTCTGTGCAAAGTCGAACAAATCCGCCGGTGTGTAAGATTTCATACCTTAAAGCATCTTAAAGCTGTGCTGCACTGCTGTGTGGTTCCTGGAAACTGGCTCGACTCTTCCTTCTGGTGCGGAAAGTGTATTATACAGTCAGTATACACAAAATTATAGATATCTATATCTATATAACATTATATAACTACGTATATATATATATACATAATTAAAATATAATTATATGTATATACCTGAGAGCTGAAACTCAAGAATGATGAGCAACCCTGACAGATTTGCATGTGCGTGACAGACTCCTACTTCACCAGCGCAATGGCAGGATGCTCAGTCGAGCGGAAGCTTCTTCCAATGCCTCTGTGCGATTTATTCGGGCTGCAACTGGAACAGGTCTTGGGTGCGACGAGTGCAACGTGGTGAGAGCATTGGGAACAAGGATGGTCAAATCAACCAGCGAGACAAAAGATCACCCGGTACTCACAGGAGATTCGGAAAACGAGGCAAAGAATGGAAAAAGAGACATGCTCAATGTTTGACACCATGCAATTTGGAATGACAAATGGGATCTCCAACGCACTTCGAAAAGTGCAAGGTGAAAACGCAAAGTGAACATTCAGCACGCATTCCAAGCGGCCAAGAACCCCGCTGGCACAGCACTGTTCAAACAGCTTGTGATGTTTCTGTTGTTGGTAAGGCAAAATGGAAAAACGGTGAAAAATGGTCAATGGTCATGGCATGTCATGGCACATCATGGCACCATGTTGGACAACAGTGGATTTGTCTGTTCCTCACCAAAGTAGGCAATTGATTTTTGTCGGGGCTTCCAACGGGGGTTGTGCCAACCCAAAAAGGCAACGGGGGCCTTTTCAACATTGTCCTACAAGTTGGATCCCAAAAACAGGAGACAATAATAGAAAATATATAATAGAAAATAAACCTATCAGAACGATTACACAAAGGAACTGTTCAAGTTCAGACAATAGGGTTGACAACAAAAAGCGCGGAGCAATGACATATCATAAGTATTAGGGAGGAGACATCGAAACTCCAACCGACATTGTCTGACCACACCTTGGCAGAATTCCCTCCAACCTGTCAGCCTCAAACTCAATCGCAAGGGATCGTAAGGGTACAGTTCAACGAATTCTGGCCAAGGTGCAGCACCGTTGAACCTTCGGATTGAAATAGGATTGGAATGTCAAAGGGCCTAGCCGTAGCTGTAAAGATTATAAATATATATATATATAATTATATATATATAATTATATATATATACAAATTATATATATAAAGGAAGGCGAGAAGGGAAAAGTGGAGATACTTGTGCAGGTGAGCTGTAGCAGTCTGACAAAAAATCACCAAGAGACTTCAACTATTATATCATAATATATTATTATAATTATAGTTTTTATAAACAAATGTGAACCCTGAAATGCCTAGAACCTCTCCTAGCTTCCTTCCACTTTTTGAGGCCTTGCTAAGCCTGATTGTCCATGTGTCTTGGGTCGAAGGGTTCTTTTGCACAGATCTACTGTAAGGGTGCTCCCTAGCAAAGCTTTAAGTTTAATACTAGCGATGAGGTGCAGTGGGGAGTTTTCACAAGAACACTCTGCTGTCCTTGGGTTCATGCTCGATTTCAGCCCAGCTGAAAGGGTTTGGCTGCGACCGCACTGCTACCTCGCAAGCCGTCCTACGTACTGACAGACCAAAGCATACCAAGAAGCACAAAGTCACGGCAGTCTTTAGAGTGGTCTGTTGCAGTAATGTAGTGATTCAATCACATTCGAAGGGGCTGATTGCATCATGATTGACATATCTGAATATACCTGAGTCCATGAGCAAACCTGAAACCCCAACAGGGAAAATTTGGCAACACTTTGCAAGCAAGTCAAGAGATGGGCTATGAGAAAAGTTGCGGCGAAGGGCTGACTTGCATTCCGGCAGTCCTTGTGACCATGACTTCAGCTTTCCTTCTGCTGAGCCCAAGCAGCCGCATACAATTAAAATAGGGTCAATATGGCAGCCGGGCAGCAAAGAAAGTGCAGGTTGAATATAATGATTGGTCAGTACATGTTCAGAGTACAGAGTCTTCGCAACCTACGTGCTGCGGCAAAGATATCGTATAGGCAGACTATAGAAACAAACTGAAGTGTTTACCTACCCTCACTTCAGATACTTGAGCATCTTGAGCTGTTTCTTCCCTTAGGTCTTTGTACTTCCAACATCTCCCGTCCCAAAGAGGAAGCTATGGCCACAACATTTCCAGACGTGAGGCCACAAAGTGGCCAAGTTTGAACCTTGGCTATGCTCCGGACAGCCAGGCAATTGGCTCAGACCGAATCTGTTACAAAATGTTACCTGAACTGTTATCTGCAAGGTCAGTCCATCTTGAAAGCGGTCCCATTTTGATAACTTTGAGGGATAACGATGGATAACAGTGCAAACCCTCGGCTTGTGGACTCTTTTCCTGGCTGGCTGGTGTCAAGTCCAGAAAACCCTGAAGCGGGACTTGAATGGGATGGTCAGCACGCAGAACAGTACCCCAGTTCAGGTGCTGACTTGTCGACCACGGGATGCTTTCAACAAGCTCCCTCCCTCACCAATTTTGCAAATCATTCTGCGAAGCTTTGTGCAGATTGATTAGATCCTCACACGGTCTTCACACATCTGTACAATATTAAACGCTCTTTGAGATGCGTATTGAACACTCCTAGCCTCACTCAGTCAAGGCTTCTCATGATGTGGGGCATTGTTGTCGTGGCTATGCAAAATCTAACATTCTGAAAGCCGCGTCGATGAGAAAAACAGTGGCTAATGTCCACAGGATCATCCGATTGAGAAATAGCCGGCACCTGTCGATCTCAAAATGAATACCGTCAAGGCTGGGATGATCAGGCGAGGCGCTTTCCTTAGCACGCGACGTCTGGCAAACATTCGACACAGGACCGTCACCCGCAAAGAAACTTTTGGAAACTTCCACAGTGCGCAGGTTTGCGCTATGAGATTAAAATCGGACAGCGTGCGCGAGGTCTGGAGCCTTAGGCCTTAGCCTTAGACATCTGCACATGTTTTGTTTAACCAACTGCCTACTTATCCTACTTACACTGATTTGGGCGAGAGCTGTGTAAGGTGAGAAATATTGAGAAACAGTGTCTTCCTTCTAGTTTGCCCTTAGCCCTTTGCATTCAATCGCATCCAAACACCAGAATGACGGGTCAAGAATGGTTGAGTCCAAGGAGCAAGGAACTCATTTTGAAAGGCATCCTCTGCGCTGAATGCATCTGATTGAGCTTGTTCTTTCATCTGAAGGGCTGTTGTCCAGCGCTGGCCTGACTGAAGTGGGATGGAAAACAAGTGTCCTTCGTATGCCTTTGACGTGTTCCAGCAGATAGCAGTGGTGATCAGTAGAGACTGCCAAATAGCAAATCGATGATGTATATATGATATCTATACACATAGTATAATCGTAGAACATCGTAGCAAAATATTAGATTGTGTTTGCCTCCCTTAGTTCCACGACGACCTGTCAAGCCATCAATGCTACGGAGAGCTGGAGGATTTTGACAGTGGTCTAGAGTCTAGAGTCATGAAATATGTTCCCGCGTTCAATATGTATGCTATTGCTCAATAGGTTGGCCCATCACTTTCTTCTTTTGCTAGAGAAAACGCAGCTAGGCACCAGATTTGAAGTGATCTGATCCGAGATCGACGTTTGCTTTCAACTCATACCATCCTATACCATGCTTCAAAATCTTCAAAGCCAAGTCATGCCAAGCAACGCGCTGTCAAGACATCGATTCCAAGGTGCTGAGCTTGATGTCGCTGCTCTGCGAGCTGATCATTCAAGGCATCGCACTGTTTCGACCTGCGTGCGGTGGCATGTAGCAATGCAGAAATGATACGATGATATCATATGATATAATATGCGTTATTAAGACGTGAGACTTCAAGAACATGCAAAAAATGCAATAAGGGGCGCTGAATTGCAAGATGTTCTGCCATGTTCCGTCATTATGTTCCGTCCTTGTCTGGAAAGTATTCCACTCAACTGACTTGGAAAGTGTGTCTACATGTGCACAAGATTGAAAAAGAATATATAAAAAGGCGAGATAAGTTACAAATCCATATCATTCAACGTCGATCTTCGGTCCGAACGAATGCGAAGAAGTTCATATTAGCACAAGAATGCCCCACATCTGACAGAAAGTTGTCGAAGTTCCTCCCTAATCCCCACACAAGTTTGGGGTTGGGGCTTCTGGGTTTCACACCGCCGTCTCTTGTGACTGATCGGAGGCTACACCGCTTGTTCAAAGCCCCGCCTCTGCACAAGAATCGTCAAAAGCTTAAGCTCTTCATCCCTCAACCATGTCTCCGCTGCAAGGTTTTGCTCTACTCCCCTGAGAGCCTCCACAAGAGACAGGTGGTTAGCCTGTACTATCTCGACACGGCGAGACAAAACCACCACTTCTTTGGCAAGCGTTGCTAAGAACTTCTCCAGTTTCAGCACTTGGACCTCTTTCTGCTGCAACATCATCTTTGAGTGGCAAGATGCTGTATACAAAGCTCGGGCGACTCTGGCTCTGCGCTTACCGCTGACCTGGGCCATGTTTCACCTTTTGGATGGACCAAGCTCCAACTACACCATGGCATGAATTGAGCAAACCTTGGAAATGATGCGCTTGTTCGGACATAAAAATATGCGAGTGTAAACATTGGCAATCCATCAGCATCATGTGGCCTGCATCAGTTTTTATCAATGTACGAAAGAGGTCTTGCTTTCGCACCTATTTCGAAGTCAACATACTGTCACTTATCCAGCTGCTGGTTGACACTTTGAATCCAGCAGGCTGTCATCGTTGGTTACTCATGTTTGTCCTTTTGTTGTCTGGCGGGTAGCAGCGCTATCGCTATCGAGCCGCCTTCCGCTAGAAGCCAACAAATGGCAGGGCGGGCAGAGCCAATTTTCCGCATGTAGCATCACCCCGTCTGTGTCACTGCAAATCAACTAGGTGTACCATTGCTCATGCTCCTTTCACCTGGAAAAAACAGCGGCAGTCGAATCGATCATTTCATGATGTAATTCTTCATGTGTTTCATATGTGTTTCCATACCTGAGGTGCCCTACATGGTGTGGCCCCATCAAAGTTGGCTTGCCGGAAGACTTCTTCGCCTATCAGCAACTGCTCTCGGAAGTCTTTGGCAACAAACAGAGCCGTAGTTACTCGTTCCGTCGGAGAGTAAATTCAACGTGATTGCGCTCGTATTGAATCTTCAACATTCTTCAACCATTATTTAGATTTGTTTTGATTTGTCTTGGCCATTTACGGAGCTTTGCCAGCCTCGTCTGTCATGGAAAGATTGATGTCGTCGAGAACTACCCAGCCACTGATCTCACCCTGCAGCTGCGGTCAAACTGAGCATGTACAAGTATGTAAAAGTTGCCTCGACCCCTGTTGACCAACATGTTATATATTGTTATATGTGTTACTATTTTATTTACATATGTGAAGTGTTACTATTTACATATGCTCACATCGTATATGTGTTGTGCCCTGCCTATCTACTGCTTCAGTTCTTGCAGTGGCCTCGTGCTTGTGGAGCCAGTCGCTGATCTCCTTGGCGCGGCGCTCCGCAAAGCAGCGCAAGGCGTCAGGGCCTAGGTCAAGGGTAGTCGTGAAATGTTGTGAAGTGCCAGCACTTGAAAGAGCGATGCGTATGATCTGATACAATTCATATATATATATATGCATATATATATATGCGTGTGTGTGTTTATCTATTGATTTATTTGTTTAAACATATACATATAAATATGTTATATTTATGTATGTCTATAACTATTATGCTTATTAATACTATTATTAGTAGTATTAGTATTTTTTATTATCATTATTATTGTGGTTATTACTATTGTTATTGTTGCTGTCATTATTAGTATTATTAATATTATCTATTGTTACTATTATTAGTATTAGAATTATTATCATTATTACTATTGTTATTATTATTATTATTATTATCGTTATTATTATTATTACTATTATTATTCTCATTACTTATTTTTTATTATTGTTATTACAGTATTATTATTATTGTTATTATTATGATTTTTATTTATTTATTTATATCTGCTAGTTATGTGTCAATTGATATTTTACTTTGTGCCCATGTTGTTGTCCTCTTCACTTCTGTCTTTGTTTGCACAGGTCATACTAAGTCATTGCGAGAAAAAAGTTCGAAGTCATTGAGAAAGTCAAGCTTAAACCATCGCTATATGTGTGTCTATGACTGAAATCTCCACTTCTCTTCTTCTGGTTGTATTCTTCTCACATGATGTTATATACTCTCCGGGGTTCTCAACTCTTCCAGGACCTGTCCACGACGTTCCGACATGAACACTGCGTGAAGACTGCAAGGGCCATCGAGGGTCATTGGACCAAGTACCGCAACCCTTTTCGAGCTTGAACTCCTTTGAGGTGACATCAGTCCACAATCGCAACCTGGCTTGGCTTCATCCGGCTCCACAGACTGGAACTGCACTCCTCTCTCCTGACTTGCCTCATGAGCTCTCCTCGTTTATATATAAGACATTCCAAGTACCATTCTGTGCAAAATGTCACAATATTCGATTTGACGCCCTTTGGCTATGGCATACTTTGGTGACCCTGAGGGCTTTGATGGGCTTTGAACCTGTTTGAATCCTAGGCTCGAGGTCTCTCGACACACTTTGGCTCAATTGCGCACCATCTCTGCGATTTTCCACGCCGCATTCCACGCCTATTCTTGTAGAAGATCTCCTCCAAGGCTTTCAGGAGCGTCTGGCGTCACGGTGTCAACTCAGGTCAGGATCTCTTGCCCTGGATTCACGGGATTCATATAAATCAATTGTTAAAGTTATAATATTGTTATCATAAGTTATTGTGGATTTTCCGTTGGTTTTTCACTTGATGCTCGATCTTCATCGATCTTCCTCCTAACATGTTCCTTGTGGCACCCTGCTGTGAAGATCTACATTATTCCACATCTAACTTGCCCCACCAGGAGCCTCGCTGCGTCGCCATTCAGAGCAAAGCACTACACGAGGGCTACTCCGTTCCTTAGACGGCAGCTGGTTCCGTACATACATGCTTTGTAGATGAGCAGTCGTCTTCAAAACACTACTGTCATCCCTTTACAGACACTCTATGGTAAGATGTGGTTGGCTCATAGAGGTTCCCATAATGGATGATAATAAAACAGGTAATACCCGGAAACCGGGTAGTATACGCGGTCGGGGCAAGCCCACCAAATCATACTGAGGCCGACACCATGATGTGGCGAAGTGCCTGGAGGTGTGTGCGGATCCTTCTGTGAATCTCACCATGCCAAACCTCGTGCTTTGATGACTTTGGTATACCTTGAAATACTTTGATGCACTTTGTGAACTCTGCAGTTCCAAAGGATCCAAAGGGCAATGCTTACAGTATCAAAACATATCAAAACATATCAAAACATATCAAAACATATCAAAACCATCTAAGACAGCAGAAAAACAGATTCAGCATGGTTCAATGATTCTAGTTTCGGCTCACCTTGATGGCCGCAGGGAAGAAGTCAGAAGTATCCGGTTTGGCCTTCGGCAAACGGCTGCCCAATGTTTCAAAATGACCGTCATATGACCGTCATATGACCGTCATCACCTCCGCATGGTTTGCATTCAGTTTGTCCATGTTTGCCCTGAGTTCTCAGCGGCATCACCGTCCGTACTAATATCAAACGTGCCTGGCAGAGGAGAACTGCTGCGTTCATCAGTTGAGGGACCGCCAGGGAAGCCAATGACATAAATTTTGAAGGAACGCACACACAAAATGAGAAGGAATGCGGATGTGGAAACCCGACATGCGGTAGTTCAAAGCGCTTCATGAGGCCTGCTCGTGCTGGCCGGAGAACTCCGTCCACATCAAGGAATACAACCTTACCGCGGTCCTCGCAGTTTCAAGTCTCAAACCAGTGTTTTGCTGGTTTTGCTTTGCTTGCTGCGCAAAGGCAAGAATTGTATGAGTGCGTGCGAGCATCCCTATTTTCTAACGTTGTTCATTGACCTCATTGTTTGCCCAAGGCCCGCAGACCATCAAAGAGCAATATGCTGTAAGAACAACGCCATATGCCGCCATGCAGCTCTATATATTGCATTGAATTCATATGTATATATCTATATATATATGCATGTGTGTGTGTCTGTGCGTATCTGATATATATATATATATACATATGATACAATTACAATATAATATAATATATGTATATATATATACATATGATACAATTACAATATAATATAATATATGTATATATATATATACATATTACAATATAATATATATATATATTACAATATAATATATATATATATCGTACATTATATATATATACATATACGCATTGCGATATGCATTTGTTGGACATGTCGCATTGCAGGTCTTGAACTCCATATTGGCTGTTGTGCGCCTCAGCTGGGAGCGCCAGGTCCACCTGGGGTCTCGCCCCGGCCGCTTTGAGGGCTGCCTCACATGGCCATGTGGCCAAACACAAACCTTCTCGAAGGCAATACTGAAAATATCGAAAATGAAAATCTTAACTTGACACCCCTCTGTTCGGAAGTTTGGCACCAATGCTAGCAACAAGATAATCCATAAAATCCGTAACTAATTTTCAATTATCAACAATAGGAATCAAATTGAATCAATAGGGTTACTGTATATAAAGAGGAAAAAACATACAAAACATGATGAAACCAGAACACTGGTCGCCACTCCTCAGTCGCTGCCGCAGTGTCTGCGTCCGGCCTTGGATAGCAAAGGCAGCATGCAGATCTTGACATATCTTGACGTGCAAACACTTGAGACATCTGCACCACATGTAGCTTCAAAAAATCTCAAAACAGTTTCGACCAAATGACCTTACCTGAACTACTGATCTTTGTTAAGCTAGATAACATTGATTAACCTCTAACCATCTCTAACCTCTAAAACCGAATTTTAATAAACCTGTCATTGCAGTAGCAGCCAAGTCGCTGAGGCATGTCTGCGTAAAGCGTCTCCGCCTGGTGGGAAAACACTTTGGGGCAACCCTGCAACATCCTGCAACCGATGTTCGTTTGCCAAAGTTCCTCCAGCCCTCGGTGCCAACCTCTTTCGCAGCATTTGCGGCAGCTCGATCAGCCTGAAGGCAAATGCGCACAAGTCTGTCCCTACCACTTCTATCCATTTTAGCATCTCTCTCTCTCTCTCTTCCTGTGTGTTTGACACGATTTATATACACTGATTTCATGTGTGCAGCACGACCAAAAAAGTTCCAGATATTTCCAAGTTTGCTAGTGGCAAAATGTCGACTAGAGGTGGTTGCAGAATAGACCTATCAAATAAGACCTAGCAAGTTCCAATCCAAAATTCCAATGAAAAACCGTCTAAGTGGTCCTACGGTGCATGCCCGGCCTGTTGCTTTTTGGCAGCCTCCATGCTGGCCTTGGGATTCCAAAGCCCAAATATACCCAAAGGTGGAATTGTCTGGCAGTGCCCATGGCTCAGAAAACCTTGCAGAAACTGCAATAGCCTGGGCCTAGGCACATCTAGGCACTACCATGGAATCTCTGTTCATGTTCAATATAGAAATCCATGGCCTTGATACGCTGGTCCCGTGTCTCAGCCTCCTTCTTCATCTCCTGTCCACATATCACTCAAAGGAGAGGAAAGTCGGACATATGACACAATTAATATCAGCCTCAAAATCAAATCCGGAAAATGCACGCAAGATCTTGAGACTCGCTTGCGTTACAAACAACACAAGTGTCAACCATTCTGGTGGCGAGAGGGGCGTCAAGAAGATGTGACAGCAATCCTGATGGAAAGATATGGAAAGCTCTAGCTTGTGGAAACGAAGGCTCACTGTTTCAGTTCCGATGGAGGATGGGGGGATGGGAAATGGCAATATTTGTTTAATCGCAACATGTTTTATGAAAATGATGCTTTTGGCCATCGGTTACGTAGTACATGTTGCGTCCTTTTCTGTCTGTGAGTGAGGCAGCAAGGGTCACTAACGCTCACTATATTTCAGGAACCCTAATGATTCACAATTATTCCTCTCTCTCTCTCTCTCTCGTTGAAGAAATGCCCACCAACACCCAGGGCAGGTCCAAATAACTTGCAGAAGCACGCCATCCACTTCGTCCTTGTCTGCCTCCTCAGCCTGCCGCCGCCTCAAACATGCAAAACAATATATACCTTCAAACAAAATTGATAAAGTCACAAATGGAGCTTGCCGCCCATAGGAAGATAATCAAGAACATCTCTACAGTATCTCTTTACAAAGTATCTGCACGCAACTGAATCAAGCGTACATACATACGTACATACATACATACATACCTACATACATACATACATAACATAACATAACATAACATAACATAACATTACATTACATACATACATACATTACATACATTACATACATACATATACATACATTGCATACATTACATACATTACATACATTACATACATTACATACATTACATACTATACAATACAATACAATACCATACCATACCATACCATACCAAACCAAACCATACATACATTACATTACATTACATTACATGACATGACATGACATTACATACATACATACATACATTACATAGTTACATTACATAGTTACATTACATACATTACATACATTACATACATTACATACATTACATACATTACACACATACCATGCATACATACCATACCATACCATACCATACCATACCATACCATACCATACCATACCATACCATACCATACCATACATACATACCATTACATACCATTCATACATACCATTACATACCATTACATACCATTACATACCATTACATACCATTACATACCATTACATACCATTACATACCATTACATACCATTACATACCATTACATTACATTACATTACATTACATTACATTACATTACATTACATACATACATACACACATACACACATACATACATACATACATACATACATACATACATACATACATACATACACATACATACATACATACATTACAATACATTACAATACATTACAATACATTACAATACATTACAATACATTACAATACATTACAATACATACATACCTATTCAAATCATTCATAATTATACAAATACATGCAGGACAGTAAGCCAGCTTGTCTCAAACCCCCAAATTGAACAAATGTTTCAGCTGCCTATCCGACCCCTAGAACTCTTGACGCAGCAAGATGCAGCAAGTTGTTTTGGTCGGCTTTTGGTGCATCATAATCTATCTGTGTGCATCTACACCTCCCCGTGTGTCTTCTTGTCTCTGCACAAGTCAAAGTTTTTTCACAGGATCTCAAACACCCTGTAGATAGAATCGAAAAATGGTCTGGAAATTCTGGAATATATCCTATGCAAACATATGTAAACATTTTTTCATGGTAAAAGTATGTCCTAAAGTTTTAAAGATTGTGCCTAATTGTGCCTTCACGTTCTTCAGAATAAGAAACATATCCCCTGGCCTCTCCATTGCCTCTCGGTCTGCTCGCTCACGCTCGCGGGCCTAAAAGCACGAAGAAACGTCAAAGCGACAGACAAGATCGAACACACATCGAACAAGAAACGTCAACGAACATGGCATAATATTGAGAACTGACAACCATCCAAGGTCACACAGCTGTGAGTCAACTCAGCTGTGATCCAAAGCGGCCTACTACATGTGTACCACATGTGTACGACATGTGTGAGCAAATTTACCAAAAATGTCCTCGATCTCTTCAAGACGTTTCTTCTTCTCTTCGTCAACCTGAGTTCTCTACAATTCCAGCGGAAGCATGATTGGTCGTGAGTAGGTGTAGGTATAGATGTTAGATGTTGGGTATTAGGTACAGTAATATATATTAGATAATATCTATCTATCTATCTATCTATCTATATATATATATACATAATATATATTATATATCTTTATATATCATATATTATATACATAATTATACAGATGTGATATTAGATGTTAGATTATTATAAAGATATACTTTATGCTAAGCATATGTGAGTAAAAAAACAAAGTCAGTGCGCTGCCTTCCTCTGCTCCTCCTGCTTCCGTCTCATTGCCTCTTGCCTCTCCTGCCTCGGAGGCCGGCATCGATATGCATGATCCATCCGCTCAAATCCGTTCAAGAGTGACGTTAGCTTAACGTAACTGGTGTCAAGTCAAGCAGCTCTTTTTCTTGCTCCAATCGCTCTTGTTCCTGGAGCTGCCCAAACCCTTCCCCGTTACACAGATCATCCCCTGTCTGTAGACAACACGGCAAAGCTGAGGGATTTCAAACGATGTCACTGTGCAAACCAGATCAAGGCTAGCCAACAAACACCTGGTCTGAGAACTACTCACCATGTGCGCGCGTGGGTGTAAGAACAAAATTGCGCGCACACTCCTGCAATGACTCTACTTGAAGACCTGAGAACCTTCCATGACCTCCCTACAACGAGCCAACAGCCAATCGAGGCACGTACCTTGCGCGCAGCTGCTTCCGCCTCTTCTCGCTGGCGCTGAGCTTTTTCAACGAGTTCGTCTTTCTTGCCCATCTGCAGTCAGCCGATTCTGGAGTTGGGCGAGGCTGCCATCTACTCCGTCTACGCATTCGAGTAGCTCTAGTGGCAAATCGCTGGGCTCTCTACACAGGAAGTGCACTGGAGAAAAAACTAAGCAGCTTGCAGATGGTGTTTCCTGCGCTCTTTTGAGTGCCTAAGCAGGGACAAAACTGCCTCAATTTCCTCTTTTTCAGAGACCGTCAGAATCCACCTCGGAAATCCACCTGTTGGAAATGGCCAACTCATCCAACTCAAAGCTTCAGGAGTTGAAACGGGACCTGGTCATCCTGGTCTCTGAGCTGCGAACACCCTGCACCAAAGCGGCCACCTTGGCGGCAATATGCAGCAAATATGTAGCAGTCAGTGTAGTTCTTGCTTTGGAGCACTTGGATTTTGAAAGAATCGAATTGGACCTATCTGGACAATTTGTGACACATCTCAATCTGGACATGCTACGCTCAGTCGTCTACCCCAGGGCCACGTTTGAGCTCCTTAGCTCGCTTTTCACGAGCAGCTTTCAGCTCTTCTTTCCGCCTTAGCGCAACACTCAAATCATGTGCATACTGTATATCGCCGAAAATACCCTCGAAAAGGAAATAGGCATGACATTGGTTTTCACTTTCACCAGTAAACCCGGGCAATCACTTCCAAGAGGTGCGAGACCGATGACACGTGATGGCACGTGATGGCACGTTCCTCAGTGTCAGGCTTCTTCTCAGCCTCTGGGTCGAACACCTTCGCAGCCTGAGAAAGTGCGGCACAGCCCAGACACGATGCCCTCAGATGCTCTCAGACTGAAGAAGACTTCAGTTGTGCGTGCACATGTGTGGCAAGCTCTTTAAATGGTTCGATTCGCTTCTGAACAGCTAAGGAAAAGGAAAGGCAGGTCATGGACGGAATCGTTTTGGCTCTGTTGATTGTTGTGATACGATGGCGTCAGCACCCAATCGCAACATTGTTCACTATATAGTATGCATGCGCATATTTAAATATATGTATGAATATATATATATACATATATATATATATATATACATATATACATATATACATATATACATATATACATATATACATATATACATATATACATATATACATATATACATATATACATATATACACAGTATATACATATATACATATATACATATATACATATAAATATATACGTATATATATATATATATATACATACATATATTTATTTACATATGTACATATATACATATATATATATACATATATACATATATACATATATACATATATACATACATACATATATACATATATACATGTATACATATATACATATATACAGATATACACATGTACATATATACATATATACATACATACATACATACATACATACATACATATATACATACATATATACATATATACATACATACATATTTACATATATACATATATACATATATACATATATACATATATACATATATACATATATACATATATACATGTATACATATCTATACAAATACATATATACATATATACATATATACATATATACATATATACATATATACATATATACATATATACACATATACATATATACACAGTATATACATATATACATATATACATATAAATATATACGTATATATATACATACATATATATATTTACATATGTACATATATACATATATATACATATATACATATATACATATATACATATATACATATATATACATATATATACATATATATACATATATATATATATACATATATACATATATACATATATACATACAGAATCACAAACATATATATGGACATATACCATCATATACCTTACAAATCCAAAACCGGTGTTTTCTAGGGTTTGCTCAAATACCCGGGGGTTACACACAAAACCCGAGGTTTTCCAAAACCTCATAAATTTTGAAATTTGACATTTGATTGTTGTTTTGAATTCCATGCTGGATCAAGTTCCGCATGCTGATGCGGTTTTTTCCTGGCAAAAGTCACCGTTGTTGCATGTCAGACACAGCTGGCCATGAGTTGGCTGGCACAACCACGCTTGCTACCCTATCCAATTTCTAAAAGGTGATGTGCTTTCTGCCGATGCACCTTCACAAATCACGTTCAAACCGTTGAAAATCCAGTGAAATCTCAACCATCTAAACCCGTACAAACAGTACGGGTTTAGTACGGGTTCAGTACGGGTTTGCAAAACCCGAGGTTTTTGCAAAGACCTGGGGTTTTCCCAGAAATACTACGGGTTAGTACGGGTTTACTACGGGTTGAGCACGGGTTTGGAGCAAACCCGAACTTTTCCCCATCAAAAACAAACAAATCAAGATAACATTGGTATATAACTATCTCCTGAACTTGAATGGTAATGGTTTGTATGGGTTTGGTTACTGTATGTTTTTCAATGATCACCCCATTAGTTATCTCCAATCCAAAAAACCAACCATGTTGATATATCGTGCTACATTGCAGTGCGGAAACCCAGAAAAGTCACAGATCTCGTTTTAGGGTCTAGATCCGTGGGGTTTACATCAGCAACTTTTTTCAGCCAAAGTAAGGTGTCTCAAAGCACCCTCAATACATTTTGAACACTGCCCACGGTTGACAATGCCATATCGTGTTTCCACAAACTGTTTAAAATTGCTTGACATGACCCAAACTTGCCCGACAAAAATGCTCAAAATTGTTCGAAATGATCCAAGCTGGCACTCAAAATTATTCAAAATTGCTCAAGATTGCTCAAAAATTGCTCAAAATTGCCCAAAATTGCTCAAAATGCTTCGAAATGTTTCAAAATGTCTCAAAATGGTCAACAAGTGTCTAAAGGGGTGATGTGCTTGCATATGCAGGTGCGAAAGTTGTCATTACTTGGCATTGCTGTTGCCGGTGTCTTTTGTTGCATGGGCTTAAGGTCAGTGTCAATAGCGCCGGGGTCATCCCAGCTGCTACGTTCAGACCCCTCAATCGTCAATTTCAACTGACAGGGATCACTTGTCATTAGATTGGCCGCCATAGTTTCAATTAACGGCCTATCCCGCAAAATCACCATTGCCTTGATAGGAAAAACCGTTCATGCCCGCAGTTTCTTTTGTTTCATTGCTGCCTCTTGGTGATACCACAATCAGACATGAACTTCTTGTTTTCTTGATGTTTGAAAGGTATCGGATAAAAACCTGACGGATCTACACCCCAAATTGCGAACAATGAAAAAGGCTACAAAAATGGACCCCGAACATTATCAGAAGTGGCTTGCCGAGGCCTGAGAAGAGGGCAAGGGAGAAACCCGATGTTTTCTAACTAAACCCTAAGTTTTCCATGAATTCCTGGAATACCCGAGGTTTATATTTAAACCCTAAGACAAGTCAGGGTTAAGGTCTACTAGATATATATATATATATCATTTATACATAATAAATGTATACATAGATAAATATATATATATATACATATATATATAATGTACCCCGCCCACATAGAATATGCGTTTTTCCAATTATGCAGTTGAACTCGAACGCAACTCCACTTAGAATATACCCCCATTTCGTGCTCATGTGTTTTCTCCCCATTTGAATTATCAACATATCACCCATACTGCAGCATAAATGGACATAAATGGACATTTTTCAATTTTTCACCCCACTAATTTTCGTTTGAATTATCAAAATATCACCCATATTGCAGCATAAATGGACATACATGGACATAAATGGACATTTTTCAAATTGTAATCCCACTAAAATCCTTTGAATTATCAACATATCACCCATACTGCAGCATAAATAGACATATATGGACATGTTTCAAATTTTCACCCCACCAAAATCCTTTGAATTATCAAAATATAATCCGTACTGCAGCATACAAGAACATTTTTCAAGTTTTCACCCCACTATTTTGTTTTGAATTATCAACATATCACCCATACTGCATTATAAATGGACATAAATGGTCATGTTTCAATTTTTTCACCCCACTAAAATCCACCAAAATACCATCAAAATCCTTTTTGAAATTGTTCAAGCTCACCTAAAGGTACCCACCTTGACCGGTGTCGAGGAACTATGAAAGAAAAAAAATATTTTGCAATGAAAACTAATGGAATTAGGTGGTGTTCCTGAAAAAATGGATGAATATTTTCACTGGGGACCTATTTTCTATGTATGTAGTTCTGCAAGGAATCTGATCTTTT